GTAATCCTTTTTAAAGTCTGCGAATAACTGCGAATAGACGATCAATTATGCGGTTAGCTGCGAATAAGGATTTGTTTTACGTAGTACTGTAAAATATATATAGTTATTGAATGCGAAGCAGACAATACGTAACATGAATTATTGTATTAATCAAAATCAAAATCACGCATTTTATTTCGGAACTGTGATCAATATTTTATATTAATAAATATATAGGTAAAAAAAAAAAAAAACCTCTAAGCAATAATTGGGTTCTAACGTGTCTTGAAAACGATTCAGTTTAGATCTTTAAATGGGTTATGGCAATTCAATCTATATTCAATAGAATACAGTCAGACCCCCTCTCTAATTGTAGCACCTCCCTAAATGCATGTTATAAGTCCGGGCCCATGATGGGACTTATAGATAAATGCAGTTCTTAGTTCTTTATTCTGTAAGCGTACGCCAATTATCTGGCCCACTTATAAAATCTCCTTCCATAAATGCATCCACGTGATTACCGGCCAATCAATTCATTATTTCTAGGCTACTTATCACATGGTAAGAGTCACATTATGATTTTATTTTATTAGTGTTCTCTAATTGCAGCCCTCCCTAAATGCACGCTCTAGAGCTGGTCTGCCATTATAGAATTTATATAGATAATAACGTGAATGCCAACCAATCAAATTTTGAGATTGATCTCTTCGATTGTATAAAAAACGCCATTTTCTAAATAAGATGCTTCAAAGGTTTTTGACGTAAACGGAAAAATATAGATAGTATATAAATATGAAATAACAAAAATTTTTATGATAATAAAGAATACTAATTTATAAATGTTAGGTTAGAAGTGGAACCTGTCTTTTTTTTTTTACAAAACCATTACCCTGAAAATTTTCTTACATTACCGCAACAAAATTGGACCGGCAGATTCTCGATTTTGATTGGCTAATAGCGACAATCAAAAAATTAAGCCGGAATTACAGTACTCTAATTTTACTATTGAAATCATGGCCGTCCATTAAGTAAAATTATTCCTGGGCCAATTTTACCACAATGCGGGCCTATTTTTAAAGAATTTCTATTTTTGTAATGAAAAAATTAAAAAGTTAATTCCGGCCGGAAATTAGTAAACAATTTTGTAATGTAGGCCAAAATTTTGAAGATCCTCGGTCGTTGCCAATCAAAATCGAGGATCTGCCGGTGTTACGACCGGTGGGAGAGCTTAAATTAAGTGGTGTCGGTTTAGCTTCGATCGTGAACAAGGTTTAGTGAATTTAACAATTATGGGTTCGTAAGATTGTTCCACGTGATCAAGAGACGAAATCGACTTATTACATATTTGCTGATCATGAGATATGTAATTTAATTTGAATGAAAAACTAACTTTGACATTTTGATTTAAAAAAAGGTTTCTCTTTATTATTTATTTCTTTAGGCACTTATACAGATAGAACTAAATATTTCAGAATTACACCTGAGCTTATTTGCAACCAACCATGCAAAATATCTGCGAATAATAATCTGTCCTTTACAAGTCTGAAACCCTTCTTTTTTTATAGTTTTTATTTTTTCCCAGGGGTTTTAGCTCTCAACACTATTTTATCCCTGGCTGAGGGTTATTGTCCTCGCTGAGGGTTATTATCCCTCGTTGAGGGAGGGTTATTATCCCTTGTTGAGGGTTATCAGCCACATGTTAATCCCCTTCTAAAATAAGAACTGCAAGGGAAAATATAATAATAATAAAAATAAAACAGAATATGCATAAAAAATATTGATAATAATATACTACGAATAATAAAAAAGGAATTTTTTACATAACATTATCCCTCTCTTGAAGGATGAGCTCCTGCGAATCACTTAAAGCAATGCAGCAGTCAGTTCTTGTCTTTGCGCCTGAGCTACTGTTAACAACTGATTAGTGAAATCCTTGTCATAGATCTTGTCGAGAATGGTTATATTAATATGTTCTACCAGGTTCAAATACTCTTCTCCATGTGCCATGAATAATTGATAAGCCCTTTTCGAGATTCTCCATACTGTCTTCTTCTTTTCTTTTGCAAAATGTGATTTGAATTTTCTTTGGGATACATCACTCCAACCTTTTTTAGCCATAATACTTCCCATTTTATAATAGTTTTCCAAAACACGAGCATTCAATATTCAATGTGCATCCAGCCTGAGTATTTCTTGGCTAGAATTAGCTAATCTTTCATTCCAATCTGCTCTGGGAGTTTCAAAAGGAAGAATAGAGTTGGTCGGGTTTTCACAATTCAAGTCTTGTAGGTAAATGAACATGCTTTCACGAATACTTTCAGCCAAAGTTTTTCTTTCTGAAATGGGAATATATTTGGAAACTTCCTGAATTGAAGTTCGAAGAGTAACATGGTCTCGATCTATAATTACCAGTTCGTCATGTTCTAAAGCAGTGGCCAACTTTTGAATCAGATTTCTAATAGCTTCAAGTCTTTGTTCCATTTTTCATTTGGTTCAATTGTCTTTTAATACTTTGGTAAATGTTTTCATATTCTGATAAATGTCTTTTCTCAGATTCGAGATGGAATTTTCTGACCCCTTTTTTATAGTTTTTTTTATTTTTATTTATTTATTTATTTATTTATTGACGAGTTCTAGAAGGAAACAGTATAATATCTTGGTCAACAAATAGTTTCAGCAAGTTACTATATACACTTTTTTCTAATACTTTGCCTTCCATTGTTCGTAATTTATAAGTTTCATTTCCAAATATTTCATGAATCTAATAAGGCCCGAGCCATTTTGGTTCTAGCTTCCCACCTTTTCTAGTATCAAGCTTAGCTCTATACTTCCATACCTTATTGCCAATGGAGTAACTACATAAGGTATTTCAACTATCATGATAAGTCTTCTGTTTCTCTTGTGAATATTTTATATTTCCTAATACCATGGCTCGTCCTTCTTTTAGATTATCTATTAGAGTCACTATTCTATTAATTATGGTTAACTGCACCTTCCCCTCATCTATTTCTTCAGTAGGATACATAATTATGTCTAATTCAATGGGTAGTCTAGCATCTCTACCATAGACTAGATAAAAGGGTTCATATTGTGTAGTGTTATAACACACTATACAATAAGTAAATAGGGCTAATTGAATAAACTCATCCCAATCTTCTTCATATTGGATCATGCATTTAGATAATATTTTACACAAGGTTCGATTAAACCTTTCAATTTGTCCGTTTGTCTGCAGATGGTAGATTGATAACATCATTGTTTAATCTCTAAGTCTCTACAAAGACCTTCTATTATCTTATTATTAAAATGTGTGCCTTGATCTGAAATCACTTCCTTGGGCACCCATGTTTCCCAATAATGTCATCTACTATAAAAGAAGCCACAGATTCGGCCTTACAATCAGGCAATGCTCACACTTCTGGCCATTTAGAAAAAAACTCTGTTGCCATGATTAAATATTTATTACCCTTCTTGGTCTTTGGTAATGGACCGACGAAGTCAATTCCAACTTGATCAAATAACTATGCTGACCTTATAGGATGTAGAGGTTCGTGTAAAATTGGTTTTTCTCTTTGTTGACAAACTTTACGGCCCTTCAAGTAATATTTTATATTTAAGATTATTTGATCCCAATAATACCTTTTAGAGATCTTTTGTATCATTGTTTTTTCTCCTAAATGTTCTCCAATAGCGTTTCTATGTGTTGCTTCTAAAATAATTTCAACCTCCTTTTCTTGTACTTCCCTCAAAGGGTTTTCTGGCTCTTTTTTATTTTTTCTATATAATATACCTTCTCGTACTATAAAATATTGGGCCTAAGCTTTGAGCTTATGAATTCTTGGTTGATCAAATTCAATGGGTATAATCAAACTAGTAAGATACTCTACCAAACGTTGATAGTTTACTTCTTCCATTTTTTTTTTTTAATATATATATTTGTATGCCAGGACACTGGAACCTGGGCTGAATTCTGTTTCTCAGATTTTGCGAAATATGTGAAGTTTCTCTTTCTCTTTTTTTTCAGTTGTTTGTCTTCTTTCTGAGCTTAATATTTAATTCTGGATAATCCATCTATGTGAGGAAGTTGTTTACCTGGACGATGTTTAATTATGAAGTTGTACTTTTATAATTTCATTATTAATCGAGCCATTCTACCTGTTGAGTTAGCCATATTATTCAAATATACTAGTGCAGAGTGATCTGTAACAATCGTGAACTTGGGCCCATGTAAATATATATGGAACTTTTTAACTGCCCATCCTATTGCAGTGCATTCCAGCTCTGTGATAGTATAATTTTTCTCAGCTGGACTAGTAGATCTACTAGCATATTCAATAAAACATTCTCTTTGGTCATTGTCAGCCTGTGCTAAAATGGCACCTAACACCAAATGAGAAGCATCAGTATATAGAATGTATTCTTTCCTATCATCAGAATATGCCAGTAGTTAACATTGTTTTTAATCTTTTGAAAGCATCTTGTTGCTCAATGCTCTATTTATAAATTACTTTATTTTTTAATAGCTTATATAAAGGTGCGGCTATCTTGGCAAAATTTTTCATGAATCGTTTATAGAACCCAGCAATCCTGTAATGCTCTCAAATTCTTAGGCAGTAGAAATTTCTTTACTGCCTTCACTTTTAGTTATTTAGGAGTTATTCCTCTTTTAGATATTTCATGCCCTAAAAAGAGGGTCGTCTAAAGCTATGTACCCACATGATCAATTACGTAGATCAATAATCACAATGTGATTACTGAAAATTCAAATCATTTTATAATTTTTGGCGACAATATTTCAGCAATCACTCAACAAAATTCGATGCATTTTTTTTATTTTAATTCTAGATATATAGAATTAAAATAAAAAAAAACTTATCGAATTTTGTTGGGTGGTTGCAGAGATATCTTCACTCACAATTTTTTAAAAAATTCAAACGTCTATCAAAATTATAGCTGTGGCAAAATTTTTTAAAAATTTGAGCGAAGATATCTTGATAACCACCCAACAATATTTGATGATTTTTTTTATTTTAATTCTACATATCCGTAGAATCAAAATAAAAAAAATCATTAAATTTTGTTGGGTGGTTGTCAAGATATCTTCGCTCAAAGTTTTGAAAAATTTGCCACAGCTATAATTTTGATAGGTATTTGAATAATTAAAATTTTTTGAGCGAAAATATCTTAGCGATCACCTAATAAAATTCGATGCATTTTTTTTATTTTAATTCAACAGATATATAGAATTAAAATAAAAAAAACTCATCAAATTTTGTTGAGTGGTTGCAGAGATATCTTCGCTCAAAATTTTTAAAAAATTCAAACGTCTATCAAAATTATAGCTGCGGTAAAATTTTTCAAAACTTTGAGCGAAGGTATCTTGATAACCACCTAACAATATTTGATGATTTTTTTATTTATTTTGATTCTACATATCTGTAGAATCAAATAAAAAAAGATCATTAAATATTGCTAAGTGGTTATCAAGATACCTTCGCTCAAAGTTTTGAAGATATCTCCGCAACCACTCAACAAAATTCGATGAATTTTATTTATTTTAATTCTATATATCTGTAGAATCAAAATGAAAAAAAAATCATTGTGTTCGGTCTTACTTATACTTGTCGCGATAACCATTATAATTTTTTATTTAATAAGAATATATACAGCTTAATAGATAGATAGGGTTTCGAATTAATTATGCTAAGTTTCTTTTTATTAACTATAATAATATATTTACATCGCTAGAGTAATAAACTCTAAATCATTTAATATCAAATACTACACAATTAATTATTGAATTCTCTAAAAAAATTTTATTGCGTGACTTTTTTTTATTTCCTTCTAACCTAATTTTAATAAAATTATGCCTGATCTGATTAACGAAATCATAATTCTAATTTTTTTTTTTTATTTGCGCCACTGCGCAAACTCTAGAACTATTCGAACCATTCATAATCTATTAATTAATTATACTGATCAATACAGATTAAAATGAAATCGGATCAAAATAAAATTGATAATTTTAAGGTTTGGTTAAAGGTTAGTTTTAGGGCAAAATTTATATTAAACAAGTATAAGTGGGTTTTAGAGGGTTAAATAGAACCTCTCATTTCATTTTAATCTGATTTCATTATGATCTGCAATAGTAAATTATTAAATACTTGCCTCTTCAACGGATCTGATTATTTATTAGGACTGGCTCTATATGAGAATTTAATTCTCTAATAAAAGTATTTGTTTGTTCAACATTCCCTTCTTCCTTGACCCTCCAGTATGTATCACATACCGTTCCATTAGCTCGTTTACAACCATTCGTCTATTTTCAGCGGCTTTTTCTGCTTCAGTCCTCTCTGGTTTTTCGACTTCAACTAATTCTCGATGCACATATATTTCAAACCCACTATCTTTAAACATTTGTTGAAATATTACCCAAGCATTAGCAGTTAATAGCTTATTAGTACCATAAATATGTCGTAAAAGATATGCTTATAGGGTAGTAAGTAATGGCGAAAAAAAAGACACTGACAATCTAACGACACCAAACCTGGAGGTTCTTTACTTTTCTCCAACCTTTTTTCAACAGCAAGAACCTCATCAACAACCATTCTTTGAATGGGATAGAGAAGTTTGTGAATTTCATCAAGAATTTCATGATTAATTCCAACTATTGATATTTTTTTAGTACGAAATTCAAAAGCCACATATTCCGAATCTGATCGTTTTTTTGTATCAAGTGTTACAATTTTATTGCATGTGCCAATCAGACCATGATGGGAGGAAGTCATTCGCTTTAATTCACTGTGATACGATTCCAGAGGGTTGGTGAAAGTCGTTTGCAAGAGAAGTGGTGAATGCTGGCGAGCCCAAAGGGTTCACCGGCGGGTATTTCTGGCATAATTTCATTCTATATATCTTTTTACAGCGGGGACAGGGCAGTTTACAACTGCTTGTTTGATAGTTTCCTCACAGCCGATCATTGTCCGCTTATGCATGGCATGAATTATTTCATTTCAGGTTTTTACTTCATACACCTTACTTAACCAGGTTCGCATAACATGTACAGTACAGTAAATAACATCGCATTCCTGCTCACCCACTCGAAGACCTGGGAAAGCCAACTTGACAGCATTGGATTCGACATTGCTTTAATCAATAAGAAAGTATTGAGGCATCCAACGGCATTCAAAATGCCTTATGATTTTTAATGCTTCTGCGACTGTATTACTTTCCTCATTATTTACATAAAAATGGGAACCAACGTCCCAACATCTATAGCTATCGCGAATGTACAAGGTGAATAAGCACCAATCATGTTTGTTGGTCTTGTGAGTAGAATCAAGAAGTATAAGCCATCCAAAATGTCTAAGTTTTTCTAATTGGCTATTATGTGCGAAAACGAAACCACAGGTATGTTTGCTTGTAATTTCATAACATTCAACCTGATACCCATGGTTTTCTAAAAAAGAAACCAACTCTCGGATGTCCAACTCTAGTCTTGAACTACCAATAAGGGGGGGCCTCCTAGGAACCTCGAACTTTATATTGTATATTGGCAACCTCCTTGCGCCTTAATTCTTTTAGGCTTTCTCCAAGACCTAACTTCTCAGTTCCATATTCTTTAACAGCATCAACTATCGCTGGAGGCAGATAGTTTTTTACAGCTTCCCTCTCAACTAAACCTGAACTGCCTCTGATCGTTTAAGTCTTCATTATCCTCTAATGTATGTGTATAATCAGGCGAATCTTTATACCGTTCTACCCGAACTTTCATTTCCGTAACAATTCTAAAGACTTTAATTTTGGTGGTGCATTAATTCTCAGGTCGAACTTTAGTTTTTCTGCGCTTTTCATCTGGTATACCTTCTTTTTGCGTACTTGATGGATAATGTTTGGTGAACCGGCAGTTATACGTTCTCCATGAATTTCCATTTGTATGGTTCTTATAATTATATTAAACCCAGACGTTTGAGACTAGAGGTCACCAGTCGTTATCAAACTCGTCTAGTGGGATCTCAACCGGTTAATAAATATTAAAAAGAATATTATGCTTCTGGTCAGGGGTTAAGTTTAGATTTGGATTCATAATATCAAAAGGGATTCTTCTTTTAAAAAAAAAATTTTTTTTTTAAGAAAAAAAGAAACGATTCAAGTAGAATATGTAAATATTGTAAACACTACAACACTTTACCTGCTTGGTGCCAATCCCGTAATCCTTGGAGAGTGACTCAATGGACAAGTGGAAATGAAAATATTGATAAATATAAGATTTTTTTTAAAAAAAAAGAAAAAAAGTTTTTTTTTATGAATAAAAGTTTTTTTTTTTTAAGAAAAAAGGTTTTTTTTTTAAAAAAAAAAATTGAAGGCATATTCGTTGTAGAGTAGTCAGGTTTTTTTTACAAAAAGTTCATTTAAATTTTATTTTAAAAAACTGAGATATGTTCGTACGTAGGCAGTCCACTTTAATATGAAAAAGTATATGTAAGTAGACGTTTTACATCAAGTATTCTAGCGAAAAAAGACTCGCGAAACCTGATTAGTGAAAGAAAAAAAAAAAAAAAAACCGTTAACGTTAAAAAAAAAAAAAAAAGAAAGTATCAAAGTATTGTTTGTAGGAAAAAAAAAAATAGCGGCAGGTTTTAATACAAAGAAATGTATACGTATGTACGCTACGTACGTAATGGTTATCAGTTATCTGTTATTGTATCATAGTACCCTAGCCATGGCAAAAAAAATTCTCAGATCACGTGCCATAGATCAATTTTTATGGATTTCTATTGGATGCTATATCGATAACCCTAGATAGTCTAGTTTTTATAAATAAAATTTTTTAAAAATTTGAGCGAAGATATCTTCACAACCAACTGACCAAACTCATTGATTTTTTTTTT